ACATACATACATACATACATACATACATACATACATACATACATATATACATATTATATATATATATATATGTTCATATGTTCATTGCGGGGCATGCCCCATTGGAAAACAAATGTGTGAGGACCCACCACCGTGCCAAAAAACAACTCCTGGGAATTCGTCGTGCCTGCTGCGTCGCGCCAGCCCCTAGACGTGCCAGAACACCATTCCTGGGACTTCAACAACGCGGATCAAGGGCTGCGCGTCGGGTGTACAGTCCTTGCGCGTCGGGTGTTTGGTCCTTGCGCGTCGGGTGTTTGGTCCTTGCGCATCGGGTGTTTGGTCCTTGCGCGTCTGGGTTTGGTCCGTGCGCGTCGGGTGCTTGGGCCTTGCCTGTCGTGGTTTGGGCCTCGCGCGTCGGGCCCGTGGTCCTGTCAGGGCGCGCGAGCTCTTCCTCCTAGGAATCGGCCCTCGAGGCCGAGGAAGAGGAGAGCCCAGACCTCCGACGCCCTCCTCCTGGTCCTGGAGGCCTGAGCCTCTCGCCGCCCTCCCAGGGACCAACTCTTCTCCCCGCATCGATTCTCGATGGCCCTGGGATCTGAAAGCGGCCCCTGCAGGTCGAGAGCGGTTAAACGCCTCCGTGCTGATGCTCTCGAGGCGTTGACGGCTTGGGAGAGAAAGGACAAGCGAGAAAGACAGGGATGATGCTCCACCATTGCCGTGCGCACCGCAGAAGGGCCCGCGAGGAAGGATGCGGATGATGACCTCCGCCCTGGGGGGGGGGGCCTTCCTCCGCCTCTCCTCCTCGTTTCCCCCCTCCCCTTTCGTCTGACGCCCTGGCATCTTCCTCGCGTCTTCTGTACAAACAACAACGCGGGCTAACTGTGCCACTTTCGGCCTCCAGGGTGCCTGCTTTCAGCAGGGACCGACCGTCCTGGCATTCCTCATGGCCAACCACAAAATACTCTCCGAGCAAAAGAATCATAAACCGATCTGTTTACATCGGGCAGCATCTGAACTGACGGGGCTGGTTTACGCACAACCCGAACGTTCGAGAGGGCGACTGGAACAGGCGTTCGGTCAATCCCACAGAGCGAGAAAGGAAAATAGTGGGTGCAGCGAGCAGCAACAGACGGGGTCTTCTTTGAGCTTGAGCCCATACGTTTGCGGACCAATGGGCCCGAGAGAACGTTGAGGCCAAGACACCAAACATCAAATAACACTTTAAACCACTCCCGCGCACGCGCTAACATGATAAACCGTTCTTCTGACAGCGGGCAACATCTGCACTAAATGACTGGACTGGGTTACACACAGCTCGAACGCTCGAGAGGGCGATTGGAACATGCGCTCGGCCAATCCCAACCCCCCGGAGTCTCGAGAAAAAGGGGGCGCAAAGGGAGGCCCCGGTAGCGCGACACCGGGGAGGCGGGGGTCACCAGGTTCGAGGCGTCGAAGATCAGGAGCTCCGCCGGAATGAGGTAGCAGCTGGCCCCGATAAAATCACGGCCAGCCCCCCTCGCGAGCCAGCCCGCGGCGCGCCAGCTCCACCGCGATGGCGCACCAGACCGGCAGAGGAGCCGGCCCCCGAGCGCGACCTGGGGCGAGGCGCCCGCCTCCCTCGCGACAGCGCCACGCGCGAGGTTCTCGCTGATCCCAGCGCGCCAAGTGCCTGGGGGCCTCGGGCCATCACGGCCGCCAGGAGCTTCTCGCCCTGTGCGCCTGCTCTGCTCAGGAACAGGTGGTTCATATACTCTCACCAGCGCCGCGTCGATCTGGGCCCGGCCCTTCGTGGGGAGCTGCTCCGCGTGGGCTCCAGGACATACTGCTTCTGGGTCCGCACCGCCGCCGCCGTCGCTTCCGCCGCGGAGGACTGCGGTGGAAGCGCCTGAGCGCAGCGCTAGGCACGCAGGAAACGCTGACGATGTGCCTCGGTGCGCGCGCCCTTGATTCGGGGATGGACAAACCCCCCTTTAGCAAAACGTGTTTTACGGAAAACGACCTGAGGCCCTAACCTGGCGGGCGCAAGCCTGGAAAACAACGGCCACGGCGCCCTCTCGAGAACCGAAAACGGACAACTCACTAATCGACGTGTCACTGTTGGGGGTTCTGTCCACCCCCGATTGATCGGCCCCTGGTCGACGTCCGCAGCAGTGCCATCGCTGTCCCCGTCGGCGGCCTCGGCTGCGGCAGCGGCCGCGACCGCCGCCGTGGCCCCGGCGGCCCCGCTGTCGGAGAACCGCCTCCAGCGCTAGCTGCGGAAGGCGAATCGGCTCGGCCAGGAGGCGGGCTCGAATGTCCGGCGCCCCGAGCGCGCGGGTCCTCGTCGGACGTGCCGCTGCCGCGGGCTGCGAAGAAGCCGCCGCCGGACTTCTCGCGCGGCCGGGCTGCGCCTGCTGCGCCGCGGGACTCGAGGGGCGGGGCGCGGAGAGGGTGTGAGTCCGCTTCATCGAACTCGTGGTGCACGCACTGGTCGCCGAGCTCGCAGGGACTCGAAGGATGATCCGCAGGCTGTCCCCGAGCCACCAGGCGGGCGAGGTCCCTCGTGGGGTCGTAGTTGGGATCGTAGATCCGGGGCCCCGCATCGCCACTGTTCAGCTCCGAGGGATGCCACCTGAACGATACAAGTCGCCCGGGCGGAAGGCGGCCATAGGCCCTGCGCAAGGGTCAAGGGTGGCCTAGGGTAGGCCCTGCCCAAGGGCCTAGGGTAGGGCAAGGGCAGGGCCTGCCCAAAGGCCTAGGGCAAGGCAATATTAGGGCCTACCCTAGGGCCTAGGGTAGGGCAACGGTAGGGCCTACCCAAGGGCCCGACCTCTGCCTCCTTTTCAGTTATTCATCCACCACCACTTAGGCAAACCTCCACGGAGCTAGACAATCTCTCATCAAGCCTGATGTTTAGTTCTGCCCTGGCTGGGCCAACACGAAAAAGCTACGCTGCGCCCGAACGCCAACTTTTGTGCGTCGAGGAATCATCTGAGCACGAGGCCGATGCACCTGCTGCGGCGCCAGCGAGGGGGCTCCGCTAGATCGTCTCCTGAATTCGGCTCATCGGCAGAGCCTAACTCTAGATCGACCCCCATCTCGATCCTGTCACTTCCGGCGGGCCTAGGAGGCCTCCAGACGGCTTGCCAAGCAAGGCCCCAAGAAAGGCCCAGAAGGGCCCCAAAACGGCCCCCTGGGACCCCACGAGTACCCAAAGAAAGCTCGAAGAGGAGACTGGGAGGCAATCATGGCCAGCTCCGAAGGGGCAAACAGATTACCACAAGAGACTCTTGAAAGAGACTCCGACAAATCCCCGAATTGGCAAGTTGAGGGGCTGCCCGAGCTGACCCCAGCTTCGGTTTGTCGGGTGTCTGCCCTCACTCTCCCACTATTTGCTCGGGCTGCTCGAGCTGACCCCAGCTTCGGTTCGACGGGTGTCCGCCCTGATTCTCCCTCTATGTGCTCCTCCACTTCCTTGCTGACAACAGCTCGCGTAGGAATCGGTTCTGGACGGGCTGGTGGGGATGCTGGACAAGTCCGAACACTGTCACTCTAGAGGCGAACTCCCTACCCCCTTGAAATGCTTGGCATCTAGACAGCACACCTTCGCAGCTAGATAACACCCCATGGTCGCCACGAGAGGAGGACTATGACGAAGACGACGAGCATGACGAGGACATTGACTTTTTTGCGTCAAAGCAAAGCGAGTTGCAGTAACAGCAGTGGTCTGGCTGATGGGGCATGTCGGGCCTACCTCCGACGAAGTGCCACACAGCATGTAAGGCAAGGACAAGGAAGAGTGCAGAAGAGCTGACCTCTGGAAGCTGTGGATTAGGTCGGCGACTGGCTTCGCAACCTTGGGCCGACCGAAAATATGAGATCTCGGCAATGCTCTGCTGGGAGTTCCGAGAGACCCGGCATGTGGGGCGACATGCCAGATATTGCGAATCTGGGGGAGGAGGAAAAAGGGAATCATGTGGTAAAGAAGAGAAGCAATAATAGATAAAGGAAAATGACGAATGCACTGAGGAAGGAATCCCCTCTGGCTGGCTGTTCAAGACGTGAATATGTTGCACTGTCCACCAGCAGGGTAAATTGAAATTATCCCTCAATCTATCGACGAATTCATGCACCCAGAAAACATAGCTTCATTCCTTTCGCCGGCAGACCTTCCCAGTGCGACCCTACCTAGGAGTTGGAGCCTCTAGGAAAGCAACATTAGTAGGAGCGGTAATCGCCGTCCTCCTCCTTCTCCTCATCGTGGATACTATGCTATGCTGTGCTATGCTATGCTATGCTGTGCTATGCTATGCTATGCGATGCTATGCTGTGCTGTGCTATGGTATGCTATGGTATGCTATGCTATGCTATGCTATGCTATGCTATGCTATGCTATGCTATGCTATGATATGCTATGCTATGCTATGCTATGCTATGCTATGCTATGCTATGCTATGCTATGCTATGCTATGCTGCGCAGTGCTATGCTGGGCTGGGCTAGGCTAGGCTATGCTATGCTACGCTATGCTATGCTATGCTATGCTGCGCTATGCTATGCTGCGCTATGCTATGCTATGCTATGCTATGATATGCTTGCTTTGCCTTCGCTTGTGCCTTCATGTATGCCTTTGCTTTTGCTTTTGCTAGGCACCCAGGGAGCGCACCTGGGGGAACCGCGCGTTTGCTTTTACCTTTGCTGATGCTTTTGCTTGGCTCCCAGGGGACCGGGGGAACCGCCCGGGGCGCTTTCCACTGCCCGGCCCCTCTAAGCCAGAAAGTGAGAACCCTTCTAGGCAGAGCCTAGGTAGGGAAAAACATGCGCAACAGAGAGTATGTCTAAGCGCGCCTCCTAAACAATCCAGCTCGCAGCGCAGTGCATGCGCGTTTCCCGCAAAAACACATCGCTTCGGCGTCGGTCGGCAAAATCAGGGCGGCAAGTTGCCCCCCAGCGGTTTTCCTAGTTTTAACTCTGTCAGCGCTCAATGAGCACATACATATTCAGTGGTTTATGTTGCAACCAGATAATACGGCAACTAACCTCAAAAACGCTCGAGGTTCTCTTGCTCCGTGGGGTCGGAAACTATATTGTACACTTGGACCTTATCGTAGAGGGCCGGGTAAGCATCGCCCACAAAAAGAGCCAAGTCCTTGGCAAGAGAGGAGCACTCATCAATGAGAATAGGGTCTTGCAGCTTGGTTAGCGTCCTGTTGATGATGAGACTGGTGCGGCACGCGTATCTCTTCATGCCTTCTCTGTTCATGATCGCCGTGTCGAAATACGACTGCGTTGTGATCGACTCTCGGTCCAGGGAACTCGCCTCCCCAGAGACCAAAGACGACCAACTGAGCCCGTCCGAGCTCATCGGCAAGGAAGCTCCTTCAGAATCCCCGGCCCAAGTCAAGAACGTCGGCGCCATGTCCATGTGGATGACTGGCTCTTCCACCACGGTGCCAGCTTGGATGCCCGGTCCGGCGGCGTAAAGCGGCACCCGGGTGCTCAACTCGTACAACGAATACTTGGCCGGCCCGTGGTCAGTCGATACGACGATATACGTGTGCCCGATGGCATCCCGCTCAGAGAGGAAGTCGTAGAGCACCCCTAGCGACTCGTCGATCCAGCGCAGGGCTGCCAACAAGTGTCTGCAAGACCCTTCCTCGGACATGCTCGAGATGTCTGCGACGCTATCCCAGATCTCCTTCCGTTTCGCGAGCTTGCAGCTTGAACAATACTTGGATACGTCAGGAGCGCTCGCCAAAGTCCCAGCTGGTGTCTGATATGGGGTGAAGTGCCCAAGCAACGAGTCTTCTGCTGACGGATTATGCGGCGGGGTCGGGGAGAAGTACAGGAAAAAAGGCTTTTGTTTGGTCATCGCGTCGTCCATGAAGTAGACTGCCCTGTCCAACATCCACTCCAAGTTGTGATTGAACGTATCGCAAATAGGTTGGCTGCAGTCGCACATGTTCGTGATATACAGGCCATCGACAAAATCGAATCCTGGACGCATCACATAGGCTGTCTGGTCCGAGTACGGGGAGGTGAAATTTGCCTCCTCGGATGGAGTCAGGTGCCACTTGCCCATCATGCCGGTAGCGTAGCCTAGACTTTGCAGAGCGATGCCGATTGTGCTCACCTGATCTTTGTATCCCTGGCCCAACATACTGTACTGACCCACAAAGCCTTCGGAGATGCCAGGGAAATACTCGCTTACTTTGTCAAAGCCATACAAGCTTCGAGACGGGTGTCGCCCGGTCATAATGGAATAACGCGAGGGTGTACATAACGGCGAGGCGGTGTACGCTCTCGCGAAAGTGGCACCAGACTGAGCTATCTTCTCGAGGTTCGGCATGACCCCGCCGTTATTGATGGGCTTATTCATCACTGGGATGCGGCTCGGCACCGCGGGAGCGAATCCACTCGGATCCCAAGGGGAATAGTCTTTGAAGAACATGTCGTCAGGCAAGAAGAGCACGATATTCGGTTTCCTCGGAAAGAGCTTCGCGCCGAGAACCGCGCTCTCCGACGCTTTCGGCGAGGTCACCTCGCGCCGGCTCTGGAGCAGGGACACGCGGCACGCGCTGCTGGAGCAGTCCTCCTCCGCGGGAGCAGCGGCGCACGCGGTGCAGTCCTCTGGCGAAACGGCCGCCGCCGGCGGTGCGCGGACGACGAGGCATAGGAGCAGAACGCCGACCTTGCACATCCAAAATATGGAGCGGTTGGGCGTTCGGTACGTGCGATCGTTGAACCGTCCTATGCCAATATTAGGGGGGTCTTCTCTAGACGCTCATTGCGAGGGTGTTGAGTGGCGTCGGCCATATGGGAATTCCCTTGGGGCCCTCTCGTAGCTAAGTCGGGGCTGTGTTGGGGTGTGTGACCGTTCATTTCGAGCCCCAGGAAGTCTGTTTCCAGGGAAGGTGTGGAGACCTCCAGGGGCCCATGCATCGACTTGTGCACACCGTGCAACAAATATGCGGCTGGCTCTGCAAACCTGAGGACGGCACGTTGGCCAGCGTCGCCCGCTCTTGGAAACCAGCTTTGGCTTCCGCGGACTTCGAGCTTCCGCCAACTTCCGCCGGCCACATCGCCCTCGATTTACCTCCGCCAGCTTCTGCGGGCCTTCGGGCGGCCTCCGCCGAGGGCGAGAAGACGACTTCTGAATCCCTCGGAAACTAAGCAACACGTTACATGTGCTTGTCTTATTCGCGGAGGAAGCGCCTCTGGGCACCGAGCCACCGAAACGCCTGGCGCCACTCGAGAAACCACATGGAACGCGATACTGGCCTGTTTACATCCGGCCCATCCGCCACCGTGCTTCGGTTGTTCGTCGGAGGTCTATCCGATGCCTGTTGGGATCTCCTGGGAAGCCTCTGGGGAGCTTCTTAGAGGCAGTTTTTAGCATACAGGGGGTCGTTTGTGGGCCTCTTTTGGGCCTCTTGGGGGCTGCAGGCTGTCTCGGGGGTCCCCTTGGGGCGGATGGCTCGAAATCACATGTCGATTTCTCCCTCCTGGGCCCCTCTTGGGGCTCTGTTGAGGCCCTCTTAGACCGTCGTGGGCTCCTCTTGGACCGTCTCGAAGTCCTCTTGGGGCCGTCTTAAGACTCTCTCGGGGGCCTCTTGGACCGTCTTGGACGCTGTGAAGGCAAACAACTGACATGTTAAACATGTACTCCAGATTTCGTAATAAAAGGGAGGGGGTCTGGACCCTCCAAGACAAGCCATTTCAGACCCCCCCCCGTGGGAGAACCCTCCAAAACATCGTCCCCAGACCCCCCCAGGCCCTCCAAGATGGCCTGGAAGAGACCCCCCCCGAAATGAGACCCCCCTCCCTTTATTACGAAATCTGGAGTACGTTTCCCGATGGGATTGGAACATGTTTTGAACCTTGGGGCTGGGTGATCCCCTTGGGACTCTCCTGACGCGGCTTGGGGGCAGTTTGTGCATTTTGGCAGTTCGCAGCGGGCTCGGGAGTCTCTTGACGTGGCGTTGAGCCCACCCACGGCTATCTTCACCCACATAGAGGCTGAAATACCTCTCCCCCGGAAGCCGAAAACGAGCGCTGGACTCCTGGGGCTCAGGTGGGTTACGGGGGGGAGTCAGAGGCCTCTTGAGTTTTCATTGGGAGCTCGTGGTAGACCTCTCGGGGGCCTCTTGGAAACAGTGATGGGTTATGGGGCCTCCTCTTGTTGGCCGTTTTGGAACCTCTTGGAGGCTCTTTGGGGCCTCTTGGAGGCTTCTTGGGGGCGGCTTGTAGGCGTCTTGGGGGCCTCGTGGGGCCCCTTGGAAACCTCTTGGGGTCCGCTTGGGGCCTCTGGGGGGCCTCTTGGGGGCCTCTTGGGGCCTCCTGGGGGCCTGTTGGGTCGTCTTGGACGCCTCTTGGGCTATCTTGGGGCTCTCTTGGGCCGTCTTGGAGCCTTCCTGGGGACCTCTTGGGCCGCCTTGGTGCGATCTTGGGCCGTCTTGGGCCGTCTTGGAGCGTCGGGACGCCGAAAAGGCGAGAACCCCAAAAACCTACAAAAACCTAAAAAACAAAAAATGAATTGTGCCTCGTCGGGCCTTCTTGGGAGGCCTCTTGAAGGCCTCTTGGGGCGTCTGGAAGGCCTCTTGGACTGTCAAGGTTAATTCTGGGGTAATTTTTGGCCGTCGTGGGTCGTTTTGGTGGTCTCGAAGCGCGATTTCTAGCGATCCGGGGCCGTCTGCGGGTGATCTTAGAAGGCCCCCAGCGCCTCGCTCGGCAGGGCCCTGGTGCCCCCCGAACACCCATTTGTGGTTGGGCTCGCGGCCCCGCAGCCCCCATGCGCTGTCGGGGCACCCCTCCGCGAGGCCCTTGTACCCCGGTGTGTGTGTGTGTGTATATATAAGTATGTGTGTATATATATATATATATATATATATATATATGTGTATGTGTGTATGTGTGTATGTGTATATATATATACATAGAGAGAGAGAGAGAGAGAGAACAAACAAAAAAAAAAAAAAAAAAAAACGCGCGCGCGCTTCGCGCGCGCTCAAGTTCTAGCTAGCTTCTTGAAGCCTCCTCGAAGCATCCTGGACTGTTTCTTGAAATCGTCATGAGACCTTCATGGTATGTCATGGTATGAGACCTTCATGGTATGTCTTCATGGGCATCTCAGACAGAGTTTTGAAACCTCTTAAGTGCTGTCTTGGGGCCTCTTGGAGCCTCCTTTGGGTTTCTTCGGGGCCTCTTGGGGGCCTCGTGGGGCCTCTTGGGGGCTTCCTGGTGGCCTCTTGGGGCCTCCTGGGGGCCTCTTGGGGCGGAGCTTGATTTTTCAGTTCGCGTTCCCTCTCTTGGGCGCCTCTTGGGGCCTTCTTGGGACCCTCTTGCGCAGTCTTGGGCGGCTCTGGGGCCGTCTCGGGGCTCTCTTGGGCCGTCTTGGGGCCCTCTTGGAGGCCTCTTGGGCCGTCTTGGAGCGCTTTTGGGAGCCTCTTGCGCAGTGCTTTAGCACCAGAAACACGAAACAGCGAGAATGCAAAATACATTGAACAACAACAAATGAAAATCAACGATTTTGCCCTCTCGGGACGCTCTTGGCGGCATCTTAAAGGCCTCTCGGGGAGTCTTGGGGGCCTCCGGGGCAGTTTAAAACGCATCGTGCGTCGCCAGGGAGCCCTGGACGGCGTCTTGGGGGTGTCTCGAGACCGTCTGGGGCCGCCGGGATTGCTGTCTGACAAACCCAAACAACTACATACATGATGTCCGAAACCCGGGACCAGGAACCGTGTCTTTCACACGAATCTGCGCGCGCACCCACCCTTTAAGACTACGACACAAAGCGTTAATCATGGGATCCAGGCACACCACGACGGCGGCCGTTCAACTTTTTCTCCCAGACCATCCTGTGGTGTTGGATCCTCGTTCTGAATCCGCAGCGCCGCGCCTCTCACTTCTCCTCATCTTCCTCCTCCTCCTCTTTTTCCTCCTCTTCCTCCTCCTCCTCCCTCCCTTGCCTCTTTGCCTTCCGCGTCACCTTCCCCTCCTTGCCTCTGGCCTCCGAATGTGCACTGCGGCACATCCATCACACGTCTCGTGCCCCGTGGGGAGCTCCACCGAAGGCCCCAGTGAGACAGATCGCAAGGCGCCACCTGCCCATTTCGGCGCAGCCCCGCACACGCTTCGCGCCGGCCACACGCAGGGAGCTCTACCGAAGGCCCCAGTGGGGAGGCCAGCCTGGCGCTGGCGCCATTGCCGCTTCCTGAGCACCCCGCACACGATTTGGGGCCCACAGGAAGCTCCACCGAACGCCGCAGCGGGACAAATCGAAAGGCACCACCGCCCCATCTCGGCATACTCCTCACACGTTATTATTATCGATCGTGCCGTACTCACAGATGAATATGTTTGGGTCCTTCGCCAGAATTGGTTCCGTCCTCTTCCAAGCAATCCGTCCGATCCTCCCTTTGTCTCTCATCCTGCCACGTTAATTTGCATGCCCTTTCTCTATCTCCATGCGTGTTCCGCTCCATCCTGCAGAGGAAGGACATGCCATAATGTGTTCCATGTGGTTCGGTGTCCCGCCTTGGTCTTCAGAGCGTCGAAGACGGCCCGAGAAAAACCATAGCCCAGAAGAGCCCCAAACCGGCCAAAACGCCACGACAAGTCCGCAAAACGGCGCGGAGAGGCCCTCAAAACGTCGCAAGAGCGCCCTAACACGAATCTACAGAGCCCCAAGATGGTTCTAGAGCGCCCCAGGAAGCCCAGAAATAGGCCCAAAGGCACGGCGCCTCCGTTCAAAATGGTTCCAAGAAGGCCTCCTGGAGGGCCCTTCCAACTTTCGACACTGAGCAACGTCTGCGAATTACTGGTTTTAGCAACATAGATGTGCTGGAACAGGCATGCACGATGCATGGTAAATGCCAGCCAGCGCACATAAGGCACATCCTCAACGTTTAGTGTGGCTTGTCAATGATCTTTGAGGGCTCCCCCTCATTGCCAGACGCTCCTGCGCACTCTCGGGCGAGTCGCTCTTCCTGAGGCCTCAGAAGCGAGGCTGGGCCCTGTACTTCCAAATTGCCAGCTGATGGTCCTGGGCGCCCGTCCGGGGACGTTCTCGGCGGTCTCTGGGGGCGTTTCGGAGGCCACGGGGGCCGGCCCAGCGGAGCCCCAGGACACGGTAAAAACCCGGTCGGCGGGCCACTGTCCTGGTTGTCAATTCTCCACCACTGAACGGCCCCTTTCCTATCTGTGGTTGTCGCGGTGAGCGAAAGGAGCAGAGGGAGCGAAAGGAACAGAGGGAGGCGGGAGCGAAAGGAGCAGAGGGAGGGAAAACAAGAGGGCGAACCCTTCTCTCACAGATGGGCTTGTTGGAGGAGCCCTTCCTTCACAGAGGGACCTCTGCACACATCATCACATTTCGCCCATTTTCACAGATGGGCCAAAGTGTGACTTTACTTCGACGTTTGGATTACATGGAACAAATTACGCGAACATCTGTTGCGCAGGACTCCCGTTTGAGTATCTCCGGAGGCTGACTTCAATGATGCGACTTGCCAATCTTGGCGACGAGGCAACGCTCCGTTCAAGTAACCACCCGTTCCCTACTCCTCAAGTTGCAACGCAGGGAAGGGGTCCTGAGGGAAACGCGTCCTAGCATTCGCGCGTGGACTTTCCCGGGACCAGGTCTTCACTCCAAGTAACTTTTCTGGCCGGTCCGGGGGCCCCGTGGATGAGCCAGCCAACCCC